CGCTTCACGGTCGTAATTTGCGTCCCCAGGATCTACATCCATGACATGCCGTAGAGTTCAGCATAGAAAATGGAACTACAGTACCTGGCACAAGGCCACACGAAAAAGACGGAGTCAGCGTTTGTGCTAAAACTTTGCTCAAATAACTGAAACTTCGGTCTGTCGAACATTGCAACACAGTACCTGCAGAGGGCTTTTCTGTGTAGTATCATTCAAAGACGTAATCCAAAGACTTTTGAATTGTGGACTAACTTGCTGCATTAACCTTATGGCTGACACCTCATAGACTTTCGCGGAAGGACCTCCCTAGACAATAGAGTTTGACTGTGCGGGTTGGTTCTAAATCAAGATTAGTAACAGAAAGGCCACATGTAAGACAAAAGCACTTCGGCGATGCTGCTCCTCGACTCACCCCCGACCTGATCAAGAGACTACTCCTATGCTGCATCTCCCGATCCTCGATGTGGACGATGGTGCTCCGTACTCCACGTTGGTTTTATGGACAGGGTATCGCGAGGCGAGATGAATGAAGAATGATTGGCGAGGACATCTCTTCGAACTACTTTTGAGCAGATGATGGCCCGTGCTGTTTCTACGCGCGCACGTCCAGCTCTGAGTAGAGGTCCTTGCAAGTGCACTGCAACCAGTCCCCAACATCTGCACAACCCCGCTGCTACAGCATGCTCTTCACGTCATGAGATATTTGCGACTCAATCGATAGCTCGACCTTCTCTCACTGGACGATGTCACCCTCCTAAACCTGGACTTGCATATACGAGAAAAATGGGACGACAAGTAATAAGATTTCGATAGAGGCCAATAGGGGACAGGCGGAACCATCTGTACAACATCATGTTGCCGTGCGAAGCTCTTTTTCAGTTCCACATTTGACCATCATCATGGTCCTTTTGTTCTACCTGTGGGGAAGAGGCTTATCATCAATAATGTAGGTGGCTCAGACAATTCTGAGGGCGACGCGAATTCCTGTCCTCCTCCCCAATCTTCTTTCCATTCTTCTTCACATTTCTCCTCCCGGTGGCTCTTTACACTACTGTAGAGTTCGCCTTGCACTCCCTTGCACTTTATCGTCGGAATCCGAGGACGAATTGCTCGGTGGGTGTCGGAAGGAAAAGATGATAGCGAATGTTGTGTCTTGGAGAACCCTAGCTGCTAACCATGTTGAGGAATGAGACAGGATGGCAGCGGAGGGGGGTAGAGTAATGGATGATGGCCAGAATCCGAGCGGAAAATCTGCCGGGGCCTCTTTTGTTTTGGTTGTGCAACGTTCAGGGACTCTACCGACCGTCATCAGAAGAGCCCCGATTCAGTGACAACTGTGCCGTTGATACAGTACAGTACTACGATATTTTGCATACTCGAAATAACATCCATGGGCACTCCACAGACGCCGGTAAAGCTGAATCCATTTAATCCGAGAAGAGATTTTCAAACTCCAAAATGAATCCGTCATCAACACCTTCACCTCCGAGCATTCGCTCAATCCCTTGCTCAAAGCGTGGTAGAAAATTCCAAAGTCGAGGATTACTATCCTTGACCAGGTTAACCAACGTCTGAATATTATGTTTGTTAAGATTTTCGTAGCTGGGAACAAATAAGTACGTGCTTTCCGATAACAAGACTGGCGGCACACTCACAAAGCGGGCCTGATTGTGTAATCAGGATCCAGAGGACATGAAATCGTTCTTATAGGTCGCAGCATCCACAGCGGCCGTTCACGCTCGCAGATATCTTCGAAATGGTGTAGACAACTTCCTCGGTAATTGGCCTTCTGAAGACGACGCAGGGCTTTAGGGTCCTTGTCTTGCCCGGTACTTCTCAACATGTACTTGTAGGTACGTGTATCTGACCCCTGGCCCTTCTTGGCTGGCTCCGTTTGATCTGATATCTGCATCTCGACATCTTCGGATACGCCTTGCCTCGACTTGGTGCTAAGGATTCTCACTAGTGCACGATATGTGGAATTAATACACAGCGCCCCAAATTCTCGTGTCAGGCTCCCGAGCTTCGCATAGCCGCGGCTTCGGGTATACAGTTGAACCGCTACCTGTAGACCATCTTGGTCACGTCCTGGAGTGCTGGTATAGAGAGCTTCTGAAGTATGCCCAGGCGAGCTGATAGTGTCGTAGAGTCTTAAAGTGTTCTGAATGGTAGCGTTGGAAGGGGTACGACCGGAAAGGACATCTTGCCGGAGACTCCGACTACTGTTGTACAGCTGCATGGTCCTTTGAGTGTCACTGTGGACTCGAAGTGACTGGTCTTTCATAATATAGACCAGATCTCGGAAGTCCTCTAAGACCTCTTTACATCCCATGCAGGAGGCAATAAACTTTATCCTGATCTGAGGTGGCAGGTCTTTGAATTTCGGTTTCGTTTCCATCCAGGGACCAGGGCTGGGGCTGACTATCCCCCAAGATGAAGCACCGGTGGTACTGACATTGCCGGAAAGGGGCGAGGGAGCCTGGGGAGATTCCGTCCGTCGACCAGCCACAATCAATTGTATGTAACGTCTCCGCAGAGTGACGAAGTTGGTTGGGCCTGGGTCCGTGTGTCCTAAGATTTTGTCCGCTTCGAGGAGCAGGATGACACCGCAATTATTACCGTCATTGATTGAACCCTAAACGGTTAGATGAAACTAGTCGTATTGAGCGGAAAGAAACTGGAGGAGAAGCTTACTGAATTAGATCTCACCGTCCACCCGTTGAGATCTGGTGCGCTTGAAAGAATGAAATGAGCCACAGATATGGCCCTCTCACTCTCATGGTCATGCACCGTAAGTTGATGGTGGGTGAAGTCCAAGCTTACGAGAAACCAATGGCTTGTCTCCTCGATATGAACGGGAACCAGAACCATCGAGGGTGTCTGCCACCTGCAGATTCTGGACGGGTTCTTCTGGATGTAGGCCGCATTGAAATCGTGAGACTCTACGACGTGCACATCACGTCGGCCCATGGCCATACGGTAGAGGCATTCCATCACTGCATCGTCATTTAGCCACTGGCCCGGTCGAAATGTATTCAACATGCGCTCAACCGCCTCCGGATTGGCGGTGATCCAAGGAATCGAATCACGGTTTCGGCATCCAAGATCAATCAGTCTATTGATATCGTGGATCATTTCTTCTTCTGATAATTTTCGATCGAGCCTCGGAAACGTTACAGCCACGCATTGAGCCGTCTGAGCAGTGCTGGGAGGTGTATTGCATGAATGCCTGCTCTCTACAACTCCAGAGAAGAGTGGTGAGCTTGCCCGAGAAGAAGACATGGAGTTCATCGTAGTTTCTGCCACATGTACATTCGGAGACATACCACTGCCAGAAGAGCGGTACTGGGTTGGGGGATCCGGATTCGAGTGTGGTGTTCCTGACGGTTCTGAGGATGAGACGGATAGGGCTGGAAACAACGGGGGAGACGGTGGGAAGAGATCGGACGTCTCAGGGGCGGATTTCTCCAAACCAGATCCGATTTTGGTCTCCCCTTGCTCAGATAATGCAGGCTCATCGCTGTTAGCGACGAAGAGGTCACTCAAGCCACCCGTTGGGGAGTCTGTCGGTGACCCAGGGGAAAATGTCGGAAGCGGGGCCGGTCGACGGGCGTGCTTGCAGAAGAAGTCTGTGTTGATGTAAAACTCTTCAGTCCTAGGTTGCCATGCATGTTCTGGGATTCTTCCGGCGACCGAACGCTGATTCCTCGGTGATGACACTGTCTGAGAGTATGCAGAGTTCCTCGCGTCCTCATCCGTATCGTCGTCAGAATCCTGGCCCATAGGTACGTCCGCTGGGGTCTCAGTCGGAAAGGAGTCATTGGAAGGCGTCTGCAGATCGGGTTCTTGTGGAGGAGATGAATCGTCTTCGACGTCTTCCATCTCATCGTCCTCATTCTCACTTTCCACCGTAGTTTGAAGAGGTCGATTTGGAGGAGGGCCTGAGGAAGCATTGTTTGCTTTGAGTTCCAGTGTGGCTGGAGACTTCTCACCAGAAGGAGATTCACCAGAAGGCGAACCAGGCGTTGACGAGACGACGACGGAATCCGACTGAGAGTCACCATCATGACCTGTAGTTGTGGCTTCATCATCTTGGGGATCGATGATGTCTTCACCCCATTCCTCCACAACTTCTAGTGGACGATATTCGCCGAGTTCCATAGCCCCGGCCGTGACGGGACACGAACCACAATTGCGGCTGGACTTCCGGCAATGTCGATACATGGGTGAGGGAGACCAATCTGCTTCACAGTAGCAGATGCTCTCGACGACGTTGGTGCCGGTATTCCATGCCCACTGATAGCTCAGGTAATCCGTTCGCACGACCTCTCCGGGTCGCTGGAGGAAAATGTTAAAGCTGATCCCCCACTCGTACAACACCGACGGCGGCACCAGGAGATTGCTATGACGGACAAACTGGCTGCAGACTTGCGGAAGTTTCAGATTCTCCGCGAGACGTCCCTCCAGGACGGAAGCTTGCCTCGGTGGGACGACGATCCAAAGGATTGGGTCGCCGCTCCAAAGAATTGTAACAGATTGAAGATCCACCTCTTGCTTGTGCAGGAAGACGAAAGATGTTCCTAGGTTGACCCGAACATGACTCGAATGGATACCGGGGATGTGACTGTGAGTGGATAGAAGGCGTCGGCTGGTAGACAGAGGGGTCTTTGGAAGTCCCAAGGCAGCACGTCGGCGAGGATGCTGTGCCGAGCACGTTACATAGTTGAGAGAGCCAGATTTGACAGCCCTATACTTGGTTATGATATCTTCACATTTTTCAATTAGGATGGGCTCCTCGAAAGACTCCCACGAAGGATCCAATACTGTCGTTGTGCCTTGTACCGGGTCATTTGCATTGGTCCAGTCTGCTCTTGCCAGAGTTACTGTACGGCCTTTGATGACAGGTCCTTGTTGTTTCAATCGTTGCTGATGAACCTCTCCAAACGACAAACGGGAGATATCCGGAAGCATTGCCGTAGGGCCATCGATGGAGAACTTCTCGTACCCTTTGTCGGAGTGAGGCCACGGTGGCCAGCGGCCAGGGTCCGACGGGAACTTGAGCATTTTTGAGTGTCTTGAGGATAGAACAGCGAAGGCCTTGCAAGATGCACGATGGAGAGTCAAAGGGGCATTGGCTCCAGGTGCCTCAAAACGTGCCAGGATTGCCTCGCAGGAAGAGAGACGAACAAGAGTATAGTCGAGGTGGCATCTCCAAGTCTAAGAAGAGAGACTCATGTACAGGACAGACATTCATCTCATCTTCCTGGCTGCAAGCAGAGTGGGGGGAAAGGCATCATGACTGGAGTCATGGAGCAGCGTCCTGATCAGGAGGGAAGAGTGTGAACCCATGTTCGTCTGGTTGTGTGACTGCTGCCCCCACAAGCATCACCACGCAGAGGGTGCATGTCGAGGGTGCAGGCAACGGCCATCTGAAGATGGTTGAGATCCCTTCTTCCGTGGCAAGGGCGAAGATTCTGGGGGCATGCCCGGGACAATTTGGTGTTAGAGTGGCCGACACAGCGGCCAACTGATTCATGAGGGAGGCCAGCATATCGACGAACGGGTGGGTTACTGAAAGAGAGTCCAGTAATACAGTACTTCCCTGATGAAGGGCAAAGACGTGGTTGGAGATACTGTACCGCTGATGGAGTATGGCCCACGACAATGTTGGTGATAGAGCAGCCGACACAGTGGCCAACTGATTCATGAGGGGCGGCGAGCATATCGATGAACGATTGGAGATTGAAAGAGAGTCCAATGATACAGCATTTCACTGATAAAATTCAAAGACACGAATGATTCTCGTTGGCCCTGGACTCGGCGATATTATAAGACATGGTTTGTATGGACTCAAGCTAGTCACTTTTTTCCCCGTTCGAACTTATTCGGCGTATCTCACGTAATATGCCTAGACAATGGAGCCGGGGTATTCATGCGGGTGTCTGGACCACATAATTTTCCGGACACTCCTGCATGTCGACAAGAGAGCAATACAGTACGATAGTGTTGAGCCGCAACTGAGGTTGGGGTGCCCTTCTGTGAACGTAGTCAAGAGCCGCCCAAATAGCCTTCCCGTAAGGGGCTTGGCACACTGGTCTCTCCTTGCCGTTATGATATCTGATTGGTGGATACTTTGATCCGCAGAATCAATAGTCCGGCACGTCAGTTTGATAGGTCGCGTGCACGTGCCACTCTGCTCCTACTTATCCAATGATAGAGAACACACGTACAGGGAGGCTTGTAGATCGACGCAAGCGAGGCGGATGCGACTATGCCACTTTAGGTAAAGTAAAAGATGGCGGATGCATTATTACTCAAAAAGGCCTAAGCCAAACTCAAAAGGTCTATAGAGAAGCTGAGTTACGGGCCATTGCGGCCGGGGAAGCTGTTGACAGTTTCGAATATTTTTTTATTGTTACGATCACCGATATGAAAATCGAAGCTCGTTGCTTGACATCGGCACGTTATGCCGATTGCGACTGAGCATAGGAGGGGCCTGCCTCAAGAGTTCAGGTTCCATGAAAAGAATATAAGCAGTCCCCGAATGCTGAAGGTGTGCTGTAACACGCCTTCAAAAGTACAATCAACCTAGGGGACTACGAGATGAATCAATGGTGCTACAACGGGCAAGTCGACGCGGGCCAACAGCCGATAGCCGAACCATATCCGTCGAGCTCGGACGCTTCTTGGTCCGCTAGTGCTTGGTGGCAGATTAACTATGATTTGAACCTCTCTTGGTGTTGTCTGAGCACTCCTGCCATCTCCATCTGTCCAACCATCATGCCAGCCTCTGCAGCCGTCACGATCCCGATTGCTGTGGCCTTCAGACAGCCACCCCTCTCTGTCATTCTCGCTCCTGGCACATGGCTGCCACACACAAATTCCTCTGGTTGTTATTATCTGAACACTCAACCGTGTCTGTGTGGCTCCTCAGGGTATTCTGGGCTAGACCCCAGACCACCTCAGGATTTCGTTCCGACAATGGCCAATGATCCAATCCCCTTCTGCCAGCAATACATGAGCTGGAGTGATCAATCGACGAGTGATTTCGCACTATGGGCAGACTCTACGCAGAAAGCCCATGAAAAAGACGTGTCAACAAGATCGAGCCGAATCGACGACGATGCGTCTAAACTACAGGAACATCAAGCACCCGAACATGACGATGGTCTTATGAATTGGCAGGTTTAATGAGTCCGTCGGAGAGCAAAATGCAAGGAATCAGTGAATACGTGACGAACTCTATAGGAAGGATCTTACAGAAACCAATTCGAGCGACGTGTATGGTCATGTTCACAAATGCGGGTTCCTGTAGCACAGAGATCAACTATGAAGATCACTTGAAAGTCTATCCTAGATACTTCGACTATGAAAGCGCGAGTATGAAAGCCCAAGCACCCATATCCGACCAAATCCTCAAACGCCGGCACTCCTTTGTAGCAAACTATCCTTCATTCAGGTGAAAGTATAAGAGCAATTACGCCATTGGAGAATCCCAAACCATCCATATCAGCCGCTGATTTCATTTTCAGTCGGAGAGTTGCGACACTTTCTGTTCCAACCGCGCAAGTTGAGCCATGATCGCAGCCATCAGATCGGAGTTCTCTGGAGGGGACTCTAGTAGGCCTTTCGCGGCCTTCGAGCCTTTCCGTTTCCTGGGTTTCTGTTCTGGAATGAACAACTCTTCCGGGTCGTCGGTTTCGAAAGCACGCAGATCCATCTCCCCTGGCCCATCTGAGCCTGACATTACCTTGCTCCTGAGCCGAGCACGCCGCTCCGTCTTCCCTGGCCCATCTGAGCCTGACATTACCTTGCCCCTGAGCCGAGCACGCAGCTCCGTCTTCCCTAGCCCATCTGAGCCTGACGTTAGCTGGCCCTTGACCGGAGGCGGCTCAATGAGGTGCGATGACGGGGCGAACACTTTGATTTCATCATCTGCATCCTTCTTGCCAAGCATCTTCCTCAAGGCCGTTCGACTTAGGATGTCAGTCTCACCGTTCTTGAATTTAACTAAGCCGTAACCAGTGGCCGGCTCGGAGAGTGTCATACATTCCATCTTTTTCGTCGCAAACCCGAGGAGCTCTTCGAAGTTTGCCACGTCCTCGTAAGAATATTTTCGATCAGAATATCGAATGTCTTTTCGCTCAGACGCAGGCAAGTCAAAATAAGCATTTGTTGCACGGTGACCGACTTCCGTTCCCGAAAGTAGGATGACGGGGTTGTCCGATCCTCGCTGTTCGACCACAAATTGAACGCCGAACATAATTTCGACACCTGTCCTCCGATCTCTTCGACAGAAGGGTCGGTAGCCCAAGATTTTCTCACCGTCCTTCGTCAAGCCAGGTTCCCAATACGGTTTTTTGGCCATTGTGTCGGACTCTCGAGAGGGAACCTCTTCTACACCCGGGTTTGTGGACTGTGAAGGTTCGTTTGAGGACCCTGATTTGGTCCGGCTTGTCTTCTCTGACCGTGCCCTTGGAGAGCCAGTATGCTGTGGAGGTTCGTTAGAGGATCCTGATTTGGTGCCGCTTGCCTTCTCTGACCGTGCCCCCGATGGCCCACTGTTGCCATCTTTGCCCTTTCCTTTTCCTCCTCCTTCAGCAGCTTCGTACTCCTCGACCCTCTGGCGCCAATCATCGGGAATATTGAGTCTCCAACTTTCTGGGTAATGGTTGTTCCTACAGAGTTTCTTCAACTGCTTATCAAGTGAGACCAGCTGGTTGAATGCATCCTCATCTTTGGCGTTCTTCTTCAGGCGGGACTTCACGTGCGACATCTCCAATCCAATGGCGCGCAAGACCTCGGTTCGGATCAGGAAGCTCTCTTTATTTGGCAGACGGTCTCCTTCATTCTTTCCTCTGATCTTTTGGTTGAGTAGCTCAATTTCGTCCTGGCTGGACGAATCCTTATATTTCGCCAATAGCTTGTTCACGTGGGGCGTGGCTTGCTCATAAATCCTCATTCTAAACTCATCCGGAACCTGCTCACCGTTATCGACATTGTCCTCGTCAGAGGAATCATCAGAGGAATCATCAGAGTCCGAATCATCGCCCCAAGCGTTAGGCCCAAATTCTTCACCGAATGTTCCGTCCTGGTTGTTGTTGGCTTCATCAGCCTGGTTAGTTCGTAGTTTGGCGTCATACTCCCTTTTCTTTTGTGGATTGCTTAGGACTTCGTAGGCTGCGTTCACCCCTGGACGCACTGTTAGCCTAGTTTTTCTCTGGAGGAATATGCAGAGATGTAGCACTTACTCTGAAATGCCGTGGTGGTCTCTTTGTCAGCATTTTTGTCGGGGTGAATCAACGTTGAGATTTTGAGGTAGTTCTTCCGAATATTGAAGTCAACCGTATGTGGAGGCAGGTCTAGCAGCTGATAAAGATCCGTTTCCTTACAGTTCAAGACACGGTTTACCTCCTCTCGTTGTTCTTTGGTATACTTTCTCCCAGTCTTTTTGTTAGAGGATTTCGCCCCCGGTTTTGCCCCTCCACCCGAACCTTCGTTGGTGGCTTTCACCCCAGTATCTGCCATAGGTACGTCGCCATCTGAGTCTGGCGTGGGGCTTGAGCCCTCAGGTGGGGGAAGAGGGGGATAGCCGACAGGGTTAGCTTGTTGATCTGTCTTGCCATTTTCTCCATGTGCGTTACTGGCCTCACCATCACCAAGTGCTTTAAGCTGCGGGTTGTTGCTAGGCGCACTGTTTCCAGAGCTCATTTTTGGTGACAAAAGCTGCAACAGTATAGTCAACGACAGCAAAACGGAGCAAGCTTGAACTAGGAGTGACTCAAAAGATTCTCAAGTCAGAGAGTTGAAGTAGGGTAGATGTGTTTGAGGAGAAAAGAACAGGTGCAGACTGAGAGTACACTCCTTTTAAAGGGCAGAGGCGTTCTATGCCATAGGTAAGAATAGCAACAGACGGGTCTATTTTTACTTGTGCTAAATTTAGATACTTTGAGATACAGTATAAGACTACTCGCAGAGTTTCCTTCCATTCAGATTCGTCAGGAAACAGCTATTCTCCGAGAACATTTTGCCAAACATTACCACACTTCACAATATGAGGCTAC